GGAAGTGTTCAAAAAACGGGTAGACATGGCACTTTGTGACACAGTTTAGTGGGCATGGTGGTGTTGGGTTGATATTTGGAGTGATGATCTTAGAGGTCCTTCCCAATCTTAATGTATTCCTAGTTTTTACTTTCATTATAAATGATCCAGCCACCAAGCCAGAAGGCATGGGGTTGCTACTCTACTCTTAATTGGTTTGGTGGCGGACTTGGTAATATTAGGTTAATGGTTGGACTGGATGATCTTAAAGGTCTTTTCCAACCTAAACGATTCTATGATACTATATATGGAGCATGACATCATATGGTATGGAATAGCCCTTTGGGCAGTTTGGGTCAGTTGTCCTGGCTGTGCCCCCTCCCAGCTTCTTGTGCACCTGGCAGAGCATGGGAAGCTGAAAAGTCCTTGACTAGCATAAGCAGTACTTAGCAACAACTAAAACATCAGTGTGTTATCAACATTATTCACATACTAAATCCAAAACACAACACTATACCAGCTATTAGGAAGAAAATTAACTCTATCCCAGCCAAAACCAGGACACTATTTTCCACAGCATCTTCTCTGATTAAGAAATATTGCAAGATAAAGAAAGTATAAATTTCTCTCACCCCTGTGGACTATTTAGCTTCTGACAATTTAAGCAATACAAGATCCTGAAACTTCGTATTCCTCTCATCCATTGTTTCTTCTCATACATGCAGTATAAACTCTTCTGTTTAAATCGACCTTAATTTTTTTATCACAAACAGACATGCTATCAGGTAGCTCCAGGCATGCTACATATAAAAACAAACAAAAAACTCCCCAAGACAATACAAAACACTGACCCCAACGGTAAAGCTGTCATATTTAAAATCCCTTTGTGGGCTTACATGTAGTTCTATGCTGATATCCAGTGCCTTAAATTAAAAGCACTATCAAAATGTCCCTTATTTACTTCTACACTGTTTCCATTAAATATTTCTCAGTGAAATTGAATGGTAATCAAACTATTTTCTAGTTACAGTTTAAGTATTATTAAGTTCACAGTTCAAAGAATAAAGCTATGTTATGATTTCTGTCTATGATTAACAGTACAATACTGAAATTTAGCAGTCCATTAGGTTAACATGAAGGCAAAACAAAATGCGGTGTTCTTTTATACAACTGTAAGAACTTACTAACAAAACCACATTTTGTTTGTGAAGCTAAGCAGATGTTCATGGGAATGGAGCCTCAAAACAAATAATGTTGCAAAAAATAGAGATATCTAAATGCTTCCTGGAAGTCTTTCCAGTTCTATACCAGCCAATGCTAACTGGGGAGTGGGATTTGGGGTATTTTTAATTCCATGAATAAGGGTATTGGTTCATACAAAAGAGGATCTCTTATTTCAGCAGAGCTGGGATACAGTCTTAACAAATATATATATATTTTTCACTCTAACTTCCTCTGTCTTGCATGCTAAAGTCATAATAATGACTGAAATGAGAAGGTATTTGTTTTGTTAAATCTGTTTTACATGTCTAGGGACAGGGGACTCTGCCTGTCCCTGAAAGGATTATAGTTCAGTTAGCTCCTTTTCAGAAGGTGCCACTGGTATGCAACAGATACTATACTATTATTTTAACAGCAAGGGCAAGAAGCATCCCCTTACCGCCACTCTTTTTTCAGTACTGCGAAGAGTATGCAGACCAAGAGAAGCCAACCTTCCTAACTCCTATGAACATATCAACATCTTTATATAGCCAAGAGGCTATACCCACACCTTGCAGAGCCAAGGAGGACTGCCACAGAGCAACTCTTCTCAAACATCCTAAATACACAGGTCCCGCTACACTGGGATTTCTTTCTTTGAGGTTTCATGGCTGCTCAATTCATCCTGTGCTGAGGGAACTGGGTTGTCCAGCAGCCCTCATGGGAGCACAGTTCCCCTGCAAGGTAAGACACAGTCCCAGTATGAGAGGTGGACCTATCCTGCTCAAAAGCCAAAGTTTCAGCCATATTCCGTAACAGACGATATTCCAACTAAGTATTACGGCCTCTTGCCAGCTGTTGTTGGCATACAGAAAGGAAAGAGGAATTGCATCCACCCTTGCAGCTGCACCGACTCAAGGTTCTGCAATCACAGCAGTCCCTCTCTCCATTTCCTGAGACCTGCTCCACTCCTCCACCAGAATTTTCTAAGCTGTTTTTGACTTAACCAGTTGCACTAGAAATGGAGACTGACATCTGATTCCAACCACACTAGCAAGCAAAAGGTAGGACACACAGTATACATTAATCAAACAGTGAAATGTGCACCATCAAACGAGGCGGAAAACTTGTAATGGAGTCTCGTGTTAAAATATTGGCATAGACCTCGGGGGGGTTTTTTTGTTTGTTTTTGAGCTGCCTCTTGCCCTCAAACTATCTGATTACTATATTTATCTGTTCCTGAAAAAACATGATTTATGTTACCAACACAGACAGATTTGCAAGCAACCAGTTTGCGTATGCAATTTCAGCTGCCATACGGTATCTGCATG